GGGGGGAGGCCGGGGCTGGGGGTCGGGATTTGGGCCCTGCTGGGGTTTCTTGTAACTGAAGGTTTTCTTAGCCAGTCCCCTTCGATGCCTGCCTGCCTCCAGAAGGTCCCTCTGGTGGGGCCCTGGGGCAGGAGATCCCCCCACATGTGGGAACGCAGGATGCCTGGGAGATTAGGTGCCCACTTCCGATTTGCCTGCCCATGGGAAAAGTGCAAACTCGTGGGCTCCATGATGGGGTGGTGGTGGCGAAGGTATTTTAAAAGCCAAGCTCAGTGGGGAGGTAAAACCGAAGTGTACCTACCCAGAGAGCTGTCTCACAACTGTCTGTCATCTGTCACACATGGATGGGGCCAGGGCTGCGGGCGGAACTGAGTGCATCTGATAAAGTCCAGGTGGGAGGGTGTGGGCCAGGGAGCCCCTGGGCCCTATGCTGCTGGGGCCCCGGCCTGATGGTGCCTGTCTCTGTTCCTCTCCTCCCACAGTCGAACAAAGTGCCCGTGGTGCAGCACCCTCACCATGTCCACCCTCTCACGCCTCTTATCACGTACAGCAACGAACACTTCACCCCCGGAAACCCGCCTCCACACTTACCAGCCGACGTAGACCCCAAAACAGGTATGGTCGTGTGCTCAAGAGGGCACCTGGTCCTGGGGCCACCAGAGGGACTGCTTGGGAGGGGTGGGGGCGACTGGCAGGGGACTGTGGGGAGGGGCTCCTGTTCCTCCCTGAGGGGTTGAAAAGGAAGGCTTGGAGGTAGTAATCATTCTGGAGACATGTCATGGGCTCCTCCTGAGCTCCTTGGGAGTGCAAGAGCCCTGATGCCATGGCTCCCTGAAGCCCTGGTGCCCCTGGTGGCTAAGGGACTCCAGTCACCTGATGATGACTTTTTGGTGCAGCCTCAAGAAGCCACATTGCTGGGNGGCTCCTTGAAGCCCTGGTGCCCCTGGTGGCTAAGGGACTCCAGTCACCTGATGATGACTTTTTGGTGCAGCCTCAAGAAGCCACATTGCTGGGCTCTGCATCCTCTGTGCTAGTTTATTTGGGTTCTTCCTTCCCTGTGATATCCTGGGTGTTATCATGCCCATTTTACAGATGTGAAAACTGAACCCCAGGGTTTCTTCATTGCATCGTACAACAGCCGATAGGATCTCAGGCAGGAGTTTCCATCTTATCCTTCAGCCCGTTCCTTCCTTTCCACCCCTTTTTCCCAAAGGGGAAAGAGAGAACCTACAAGATTTAAAGTGAGCAGATAGCCAGAGCTCACGGTGGGGTGGTCTTGGGAGGAAGCTAAGGCCAGGGTGAATCTTGCTGGCTGAGGTTTCTCTTCCCAGCTAGTTAATTAGAAGGATGGATTAAAATGGGTATTTGTGGCACTTTGTCAGAGGGAATTGTTTGGTGCTGGGCAGAGGTAGACGGCCTGTCAGGCGGCCTTCGCTGCCCCTGAATGAAGCCACACATTAGCTGGTCTCCACCAGGCTCTGAGCCCCCTTTGTGCTGGTGGGGGCCGAGCCTGGCTGCATGGCTAGAGGAGGCCGCCAGCCGCCCGGGCTCCGGGGTGAACGGCAGCATCAACGTCTCATTTGAATAATGGCAGTACAGGGAATAGCTTTTAAATGGTTATCGTAAAACATATGATTAACGTCTGCGGACTGTTTACTTTTCCTCTGCGAACATTCTTTCAAGTGTGCGAATGGCTTGGTGTAGGGTCCAAGCCTGGCTAATCTGTTTGGTTTTTGTAATAGAGAGAAAGCAAGGTCTGCATGAAAGTGTCACCCAGGGAGACTTAATTTACAGATTAAAAGCTTCCTGAATGAATTTAAAAAAAAGAAAAGAAATAGTTTTCATCCACGAACACGCAGTCCTCATTCCCTTCAATACCGTTTGAATTCTGTGGCATTGTTCCTGGGCTCCTCACGTCGGCTGCGAGATCAGCTCCTCAGTGGCAGAATCCTGCCGGTGCTCTTGCTTCCTCAGAAAGGATGGCGGGAGCTGTGCCGTGGCGTGCGGACGTGCCCCCGCGGCGTGCACCTGCGGGTCAGGCCCGCAGCACCCGGCCAGCAGGCGGGGCTCCCTCCCCCAGTGACTGTCCTTTAGAGGATCCATGTCTAGCGTTGAGTGCGCCAGGTCTCCAGCGCCTCCCTGCCTGTTCAGTTCAGGGTTTCCCCTTGAGTCAGATGCCAGGCATTTGGTGAGCTCCCCCTCCAGCTCATCTTCTAGGCGTGGGTGGAGACATTCTAGAGGAGTTAACTTTTTTGAAAGTAAGTCAAAAGCTGTAACTCAAAAAGTATGTCAGAAACCAGAGTCATCTAGGTACGTCATTAGAACTAAAGGGAGTGAAGGGGGACAAGTCGTGAGGGCAAAAGGAATTAGTATTACTTGATCACCTACTATGTGTCACACCTTTTAGATTTAAAAAAAAAATTAAAAAAATTTAAAGCACACCAATCACACGGGACAGAAATACCCAAGATGGCATTTCTGAGTCTGTCTGCATTTACCTGTTGTATCGATCCATCTAGAATGAGCTACACCAACTTTCAAACTGGGGTAGAGGGACAATGAGAGGAAACTCACCAACAACTCTTATGCTTATAATCACGAAAACAACCTCGTGCTGGGATTGCAAAGGAGGTTGCCTCCCTTTGCTCTTTTCCTATCCCCATCTCTCGATAGTTTCCCTTCCCTTCTCTCCCTCCTTTGTCCCTGAAATGCTGTTTCTTCCCCCAGGAATCCCACGGCCTCCGCACCCTCCAGACATATCTCCGTATTACCCGCTCTCGCCCGGCACCGTAGGACAAATCCCCCATCCGCTAGGATGGTTAGTACCACAGTAAGGAGTTCCATTTTTTTAATTTCCTTTTTGTTTCTTACATGGGCATGCTTATCATTTTTTCTGTGCACGTGTGTGTGTGTTAGAAGACAAGGTTGGTGAGGGAGGGCAGTGGGGGCGTGGGAAGGTGCCCGCTGAGATGCCCTGTGGGAGAGAGGGCAGGTCCATAGCCATTTGATGGGTTACGTGGACATTAGCATTCTGAACCCATGGTCCCAAAGGCTCTAGGTTCGTCTCTGTGGGCAAAGGTGTCCTTAAGGTGCTTTGGGAATCGCAGAAGGCGCCGAGGGCTTCTGCCCAACGAAGCTGGCCATGGCTCTTTCTGCTGGTGGCAGCCCAAACCGGAGCCCTGTCGTTGGGTTAAGGCAGCAGCAAGTGGCAACAGGCACAACCCAATTTTGAAATCTAAGGGTGCGGGTGGGGGTTATACTGTCACTGCCACTCAACCCCCAGCACCACCGTGACCGTGACTCGGGGTTCACACCGACTGTGCGGAAGGTTTTGTCTCTTGAGACGCTCCGTGTTATTTAACCAGCACCTCTCTTGAGATTCTGCGTGTTAAGTGCTTTCCCTAATTATGAGGGGTGGGGCGGCCAGCTAGAGTCTCCCTCCAGCTGTGGGGCTGCCCGATGTCAGCCACAGCTCCCCACGGTGCCCAGATCATCAAACTGCCTTTTACAAACTGTCTTCCTATCCCCCTTCTTGCTTTTACAGTACCCACCCATCAACCTTCCTCAGACAGCTTTAAAAAGTGTTTTTAAATCAGAGTAGAAAGACCTTTGATGCATAAGCATACTGTGTGTGTGTGTGTGTGCGCGCGCATGAAATGTGTGTTTTGTGATTACGTGTTTCTGTGTATATCTCTCTGCATGTTTATGTGATGTGCATGTGATCCCTACTGTGTTAAAACACAGAACAATTTGTTCACTCATAACAAGAATAAATCGTGGTAAAACGTTCAGCGTTGGGTCTTGGGAAGACAGCTCTTTATGACCTTAAAGAAGATGTAATTTTGGAGTGGTTTCCCACTCCTCACCCCCAGTCTACCCTTATTTTTCAAGTTGAACAGATTCTACAGTTTTTGAAAAACAGCTTGTATTATGCAGTAGCTACACGAAGTACCAGCCCCGAGTGTAGTTTCCGTTTATTGCCCTCTCCTTAATTTGTTCGGGAGGGTGGACGGTTGTGAGCCAGCTTCTTGTTCAGTGGATGGGCCACTCCTCCAATGGTCCTCAGTCGTCACTCGCCCGGTTCAGCTGATGGGAAGATACTTGAAGGCTAGATGAAAAGGAGTAGCCAGCTCAGACAGTCCTCTGTCAGAAAAAGTTGTGTGTCTTTCATGAGGATGCTATTTTGCATGTTGCTGTATTTTTTAATTATTGTAATGAGGTGTGATTGTCTATTGGTTACCCACAATTCTTCTTGGGGACTCTCCCCCCCGGTAACTCTTGTCAACACTTGTTAATTTGACAAAAGGCTACAAATTAAGCTCTGTTAATTTAATGTTTTCTCACCGAGATCTAAATACCGAAAGAGGCCCAAAGCGCAACTGAAGTCCTTTGATTCACTGTACTTTATTTTGGTATAAATTTACATTCATTATTGTTTTCCTTTGGATGTGTAGCCCTCAATTAGTGTGATGGCTCCATTAAAGCAAGCGAGACTTCGCCTTTAATTATTACAACAAAACACCTAGTTTCAGCTTGGGGAGAGGGTCTCTATTGACATAAGCAGAGGTTATAAAATTTAATTAGCCATTCCTATCAGATTTATGGCATTCAAATTGTTCTGTGTTTCTTCCCTTTGATCCTTCCTGTACAATCCCCAAGATTTTTGTTCTGATCAAATGAGAATAAAGCTTACTGTGCAGAGAGCTTCTCCTTTCTCCCCGTTTCCTTTCCCCACCCCCACCCTTGGTGGCACTCTCTCACTCTGTACCCCCCTCTTTGTAGGCAAGGTCAGCCAGTGTACCCAATCACAACAGGAGGATTCCGCCACCCCTACCCCACAGCTCTGACTGTCAACGCTTCCATGTCCAGGTGAGTGCCCAGAACGGTGGCCTTCCCCCAAGGCCATGGGTGACTTCTCAGAGAGTTGTCTACGTTGCTACCAGGCCACCCAGGGCCTGCTGCAGCTTGAGGTTCTGATGGTATAAGACCCATCTAGAGTTAGGCTTTCCTCCTAGGAAATACTGAAAAATTATCCTGAACTTCTCAAGTGAGTGATAGAGAAATTTCGAGGTCACATGTTTGAGTCAGCCAGTTGAACACTTTTTTGTTTTGTTTTGTTTATAAGAGTTTAAGAAGGCAGGAAGAAGTAGTTAGAACATGCAGAGCTTTTTTGAAGCTCTTTCTCCGTTGCCCTATACTGGTGAGGAAGGAAAGGGTGGAGGTAATTTTACTATTAAGGTGAGTCACACATGGGATTTTAAGTTTTCTAGTAGCCAAATTTAACAAGCAGTTATAAAAAGCAGGTGAAATTATTTTTAATATATTTTATTCAGCCCAGTATAGTCAAATATTATCATTCTAACCTGTTAATCCCTGTAAAGCAACTGTGAATGAGATTTTACATTGTTTTTTGTACTTAGTTGTTGAAATCTGATGTGTATTTTCTACTTACAATACATCTCAGGGTGAACTGACCATATTTTAAGTCCTCAGTAGCCGCGTGTGGCTGGTGGCTACTGCATTGACCTGCTCAGCTTTGAGTCTTTGAAAGTTAAAAACACACACCATGTGTGTGTAAGCATTCATGTATCTTTAAGCGTATAAATACATATACAGCATGTACACACATACCCGCATGTGTGTACCTAAGTCTTTCTAATCCCATGCTCCCCTTTTCTTCCCTCTGAATAATTCTGGCTAATTTCTCAGTGACTGCTAGTTTATTTACAAACTGGTTGGCAGCAGTCTGTTTAAGTAGTCACTAATTGCTCCTAATGATAGTTTTATTTTCTGTTCATCTGATTTTCAGTCAAGTTAATTAAATCGGTGGAGGTTTAGACTTTCCTGATGGGCTGCAACAACTAATCCATTTTGATGATGGCACATAATTCAATTAGCATACATTACACGGCCAAGATGCCGACCCCAGCCTCTTCCCCCAATCTCTGTAGCCAACACGGGAACCCAGGGCCAGAGGGAGGGCTGGAAAGACAGGCCAAGATGCCTCTTTCCCTACGTACAAGAACAGCGATTTGTGTGAGGGAAAGAGGAAGAATCGCGTGCGCTGGGAAAAACCAACTGTGGCGTGTCCTACGTCTGTAACTAAGCCGTGGATATCAGGCAGTTAGCAAGCCCCGTCTCCCACGTGTGATCAGTCATGTTGGTTCCCAGAGCCACCCCAGCGTGGGTCAGGCAGGAGGATCCTCTTGTGTTCCCTTCTCCAGCGAGAAGAGGAAGAATGCGCTCGTTCAGTAATGTCATCACGGCCTCGCAAAGCCCGGGAACGAATGGGGAGCCTCCCAGGAGAAATGCTGCTTCTGCAGCTCAGGACCCGCAGCTCGACCTCCCTCCCTCCATCCGGCATTTATATAATGCACCTGATTGTTCTTTATGTTTGTTTACTCGGTGCATTCCAGGGGTTAAAAGCAGCGAAGTAATCGCAGGATAGGAATTGGGGTTAAGCTTATCGATTGAATTATCATTAGGAGGTTAGTGGATGATTTATTGGTGGGCAGAGGGGGGTGGAGGAGAGGAAGGGAAGGGTGGGAGGAAAGGTTGGGCTCCGGGTGCAGGGGGGAGACGGCGATTCCCCAGGTAGGCCTTATGAAAGGTGGCTAGTTAAAAAGCGTATACAGCAAATTAAATACATTATTGTGGTAATGGGGCGACAGAAGTATAGGTCTATTATACTTATGGCAGTTATAGGAAATGTAGGCAGCTTGCCCTGTTCCAGAACACCCTTTGATATTCATTCTATTCAGCAGCGGGGCCAGGACTTCTCAGAATTAAGTGATGGGTCATTATACTTTAAACACCATGGAGAAGCCTAGATTGGCAATTAAACAGCTCTTGCTGACACTCACTTGTGCCACCCTGTGACCCCCTTTAGATTGAGATGTTGGAGCTCCGGGCCCTCAGCCTGCTAAATTGGCGCAGGGCTCTTCTCCTGACGAGAGCGGGCTCTGAAATCCGCCGACTTCAAAGGGAGAGAGATCATGTATAAACCATAATGTGGGTGCACCGTGGCTCACAAAAAATAAGGCAGGAAGAGATGAAATGTTACAAGTGCAAGGGGGAAAATGAGAGGATAATGACAAACCTAATGCAACTCAAAGCCGGATTGTTGCACAGGAAAGTGCATCCTACTGCTTGTGCATAAAATCAAGGCCGGCAGATGACATCCAGTTAACAGAAACGTGTCAACAGTGAAGGAAAGTGAGAGTGAGTAGGAGAGAAGCCCCTGAGACAGCCAGAAACAAAAATTAGTTGTCCTTAACAAGTTAAGATTCTGGCTTGGAGCCATAAAAGCAGACGGGGGCATATAATGAGCTGCTTAGAATTTTTAGGGTGTTTATTGCATTTCATGAAACAGTTGTCTGTAGAAAGGAATTTCTTAAGGAAAGTATGCATAGAGCCCCCCCCTTACACACACACATACTCTGTCTCTACTGTACATCTTTCAGACATATGAGGATGTGTGTAGATGTTTGAACTTGGAAGAGTTCGTTCTTCATGGCTCAGTGGAAATTTTTCACCGGCCCAGAATGTACGAAAACTGTGGTGTCTCCCTCTGGTATTTGGTACACATACGTTTTTATCTTGCTCTCTCTCTCTCTCATAGGGTGTTTCCTTTTCTTTCTTCTTTTCTGTTTTAAGCCCTAAAAGGACTCGCATGATTTTTATGAACCACGGCATTCATACCAAACTGCGGCACTGGCCGACATTAGTAAAGGCAGAGGCGGGAGAGGGCCACGTGGGAGTGGGATTTCTGAGTCGCGCGTCCGCTGTGACTGGGCCCCTGCCAAAGACCCCTGCACTGCGCACTGCTATTTTCTCTGTTGCTCTGGGCAGATTCAGTTAGCACTTTAATTTTTCATCATTTTTCAGCTTTACATGTGCTACATCATTTTGTATGGAAATTACTTTCATCTTCCAATCTACCTATGGAAAGAGCCTTGTAAATAAATGTAGAGTCGTTTTGAAAAACTGGTGTGATAAACCCTCGTTAGCACCACCTCCCACCAGAATCGGCTTCCTGAAGAGTAGGTTGTCACTGCTGGATGACGCGCGGGACTGTTTTGGTTTGGATTTATTGAGAAAGCCACAGTTGCTTGATCTGGGTCCCCCTCGCCCTCTGCTCACCTGCATAACCGTGGCAAGTGGGAGCCCAAAGTCGGCTGTTTTGTTTTCTTTCCAGGTTCTGCCCTTTTCGCCCCTTGCCCTGCCTTTCTCTACAGTAGTCTGCAGCAGGTCCTCAAGTAACATCTTTTCTTTAAATTTCTTTTCTTCATTGTGCTAGAACATTGATGAGATGCCATGGTAACCTCACTCTTACTTATATCAATCAGCCTGTGGTAAAATTGGTTTTGCTGTATGTGGTTTTAGTTAAGTCTCAGAAGCTATCGATGATTTTGAGGACTGACCACATGTTGCTGTAGGAAGGGTGTTGTTGTGACCCAGTACAGGTGACAGTGACACCACACATACCAGGAAACGTGAAAGCTGTTTGTCTGATCCGGTTGTCAGTGTGCAGTTTGGGCCAAGAGTATTTTGAAATTAGCTCTTTCTGTCCCGGCTAGTTTGCATGGTTGGGAAATGCCAATTCAGGGCGTAAACTGTTTCCAAGGACTTCTCCTAAGAATAAACAGCATCAGAGGAGACAACACAAACCTTATTATCTTTATTTACACTTTCGGTAACCGTTCAGAAGGTTAATGCACAGGCAGTGTCTTAAGTAAAAGTAATTTAGGAATCCTAGAAATTTGGAGAAGGAATCAGCCTACAAATCAGAATTCAAAGCTGTATCTGTGTGTGCAGAATAGTGCTTTTTGTTTTTGCATCTTTCCATGAGAAGATGCAAACTTATTGAAAATGTGACTTACGGTGACAACCAAATAGGGATATTTGGAACTTTCTCCATCTTTCTGCCTCACTGTCTCCCATTCCTGTCAAAACGATGGGGGCACAGCAGCAAAAGAAAAACAAAAATTGCATTGCACTCCCATCAGCAGAATGAGGCCTAATGAGGCCTGTGCAGCATTGTCAGAAACGTGCGTATACGTCAGCCACATTAATATTTTATTTAGCTGTCAATATGCAACAAAAGACTTCACCTTTCATTCTGGTGCCGATTAGGACTTAGGAAATTGTCTCCTTAGATGCCACTAATAACACCTCAAAAAACACTTGGATGTGTGATCTCCAACAGGTCATTCAAGCCTACTTGCCGCCCAAGTACATCAGTTAAATTTGTCTTTTGCTAAAGATGTTAAAAATCATAACGTCTCCTGTCAGTAACCGTAATGAAGGGGAAGATTGGCTTTAATGACATTATGAGAATCGTTATGTTTAATTTATCGCTAATTAATGCTGACGGGTTTCATATGCCTTGTGTTGCTTTCATGTGGGTGTTACGTGCTTTTTGCTTTTTTCATTTTTTTATTGTGTGTACACATCCCTCCCCATTCATTCATTTTGATTCTGACGATTTACACAGCTTTCTGTCTTCTAGGTTCCCTCCCCATATGGTCCCACCACATCACACTCTCCATACGACCGGCATCCCCCACCCGGCCATCGTCACGCCAACAGTCAAACAGGAATCCTCCCAGAGTGACGTCGGCTCCCTCCACAGCTCGTGAGTGTCGCTCTTCCGATCCCTTTCTCCTTTGCCACTGCGCTGAGCCTGTGGCTGCTGGCAAGTGGCTCCTGGGTGGCGGTTCTGTCCAGGGCTGGCGTGCTGTGTGCGATTCCGGCAGGTGCCCAGCTCGCGTGGGCTCTGGACTCATAGAAACGGGGAGGACATGCCCGGGATGGCGTAGAAGACGAGTCCTTTTGTGTATGTGGCTGGACTGGGATTTGCAGCCATGTCCCTGTCCCTAACCCTGTCACTGGGCCTTTGGAGCTCTGTCCTGTAAGCACGAGGTGCTGCCAGGTGGAGGCGGCCACAGGTGCTTTCCCCTCAGCCTGGGACAGCTGTGTGTGTGAAACTCAAGGACGAGATTACAGAAGCCACCTGTCCCCAGCCGTGTCTGTGGCATTTCCCAGGGTGGGGACGCCCAGAAGCAGGAGCGCGCTTTTCCCTCAGAGCTGCCGGGTTTGGGCGTTGAACCCCCGGGGGGCTCTGTGCCGTGCGCGACGTTGAACCTCGCGGTGGGTCATTGGGTTGTGTGTGTCTGTTTTGTCTGCATCCAGAAAGCATCAGGACTCCAAAAAGGAAGAAGAAAAGAAGAAGCCCCACATAAAGAAGCCTCTTAATGCGTTCATGTTGTATATGAAGGAAATGAGAGCAAAGGTGGTCGCCGAGTGCACGTTGAAAGAGAGCGCGGCCATCAACCAGATCCTGGGTCGGAGGGTAGGTGGCTCCCCCCGGGAGGAGAGGGGGCAGTGGACCAGGAGACAGCAGGTGGGGTGACCAGGTGTCCCCATCCCCATTTGCTTGGACGGTCCTTTCCTTCAGCCACACTGTGACTCCTTCAGTGGCCTCCCTGCAGTCAGGCCAGTCGCTCCACATTCAAATGACGTTCAGAACAGCCACAGCCCTGATCTCCCCCCACCCCCAGAGAGAGGGCAAATGATGGGCTATCATGACGACAGCTTATGTTCCGCCTGGGCACTCTTGTTAGTGCCAGGACCCCGCAGACGATTTCTGATGGACTCGTCTGAAAAGGAGCCTCAGTCACCCCCCCAGCCGCAGTGTAGTTGGTGATGTTTTTGCATGTCTCTCTGTCGTTCCCCCCCCCCCC